TCCCATTAGTAGCTTTAAAGTACTAACGTTATCACATCTTATCCACATTTCAGTCATGCCATCTTCTTTATTTGGTACTGATAGTTTAATTCCGAATTTTCCAGCTGAGATGTTAACATCAGGTAACGCTTCACAACCTCGTAGGTTAATGTGTAAAGCAGGATTTGAATCTCCTTTGGTTTTATACAGAAATAGATGTAAATCGCGACATGTAAACCAATATCTTTTATATGAACTTGGTAAAAATCGTTTAGGCCTGAATAATAAAAAAATTGCATCAGCAAACTTATTCATTTGGAGTATATTATTTATAACTTACTTCAAAAATCTTAAATAATCTGAAAGTTCAGGAACTTGTGTGATGTCGGAGCTATTTGAAATGCCAGTAGGACCCTCCAGTGTAATTTGTAATTCAGATAATGCTGCATCGATATCATCTTCTCCAGGTGATGTTGCATCAGTGGTATCTAAATTTGGTTGTGGTAAATGTGCTTGCATTCCAACTTGAACCTATTAAAATAGCCATTCATTAATTGAATGTAACTAATAAAAATAATTCTTTACACACTTGTAATGCAGCAAACATCAACATTTCTTCTTCAGTGCAATCCACTTCTTCATTAAGTAATTGCCATCGCGCTTGTTCATATAATTGATTAATTCGTACACTATCATATTTTGGATTCAAGTCGAAAATAGTGCAGAATTTGAATCGCAAACAGAGAGTTTCATTTTCACGAACTCCTTGTTCCATGATAGACAGTGATGAGTCCAACCACCTGGAATTAGAAACGATGATGAAATATTATAAAAGGAAAGTAAGGACCAAAATAGGAAATTGCTTCAGCTATAAAAAAATTGGTCAAATGCGGAGTACCTCAGGGAACAGTCCTAGGTCCACTATTATACTTAATATATATTAGCAACCTAAAGGACAAAAATTTAGAAGGTAATTACATAGTGTACGCAGATGACACCATGATTATATACGCTGATAAAGATTTGGAGAAACTAGAAAAAAAATCAATGATGACTTAAAGAAATATACAACTTGGCTGACAGAAAATAAACTCACTATAAATACAGATAAAACTAATTATATATTTTTTCCGACGTAACAAAATTAAAAAAATAGAAAAAACTAAATATTTGGGTATGATTATAAACCAGAAACTAGAATGGAGTGACCAAATTGAAAAAATTAAACACAAAATTGCAGCACTTTCTGGAGCCATAAGAAAAATACGACATTTTGGAATTAAGAACAAGGAACTAATATTAAAATCTCATACAATGCCGATTATGACGTACGGCATCACGATTTGGAGACAAACAACAAATAAAAATATAAAGACACTACATGCTATTTGCTATATACAAAGAATGATAAATAAAGCAATAAAATCAACTTACAATTATCCCTACCTCACCCCGACAAAAGAACTTCTACAAAAGACTAAGAACATACCACTACACAAAACGATAGAAATAGAAAAATGTATACTAATATTCAAAATAAAAAATAACAAAATCAAAACTTGCACCACAATAGAGACAAACCAGGATATACACGACCATCAAACGAGACAAAACCGAAACTTTCACATGAAACATGCTAAATCGAGTAAAGGACTTGCAAGTCCTCTGAGAAGTGCAAGCAGCCTTTACAATAAACTACCGGACGAACTAAAGACAATGACGGACCTAAACAATTTCAAAATTAAATTGAAAAATTACATAAGAGATAAATGAAATAAATGAGATAAAATTCCTTATTTTAAATACTATATCACTTCTGTTTTGTAAAAAAATATTAATTACAATTAAGTATAAGTATGTATGTATGTACGCAAGCGTTCTGTGTATATATGTGTGTATAATAGTAATAAGTGAAAATATATAGATGTCTTAATGTAAGTCTGTTACATAAAATATAGATTTTATTTTTGTTTTAATTTAAACAAAATTTAACAATTGTCTGACTGAGATACAGTATGTATGAATTATATCAAATAAATAAATAATAAAAAAAGACATTATATACTTGATGAAGAGAGTGATTGAATTACATACCCCACATTGAGACGAGCACGTTCAACTAAAGTCTTGGGTCGTAACATTTTTGATCGGGCCTCATGGCTCGGTGTCGCAGGACTACTGGCTAAAGATATGCCTAGTGATTCGTTTCCTGTAGGAGATGTCGTTCCGTTTAAAGCACCATTAAAATACGGCCATTGCTGTAAAAATAAAAAATAAATATAAAATTTAAAGATTAATGCATAGTTTAATTTTTTACTTACTGCAGGAGTTGTGGGTGAGCTGATAGGCGTGTGCCTAGGAGGCGGAGAGACTGCACTTCTTTGGGGCGTCACAGGAGCGCACATCAGGCGCGAATCACCATTATTAAGGCTACCGTTAGAACCACGTGGACTTTCTGCTATGAAGGTGTTTGTGTCCAATGGTAAATGACCATTTCCAACAGTACCTGGTGAAACCAAACATTAATCAAAACACTTTTCACCTAAAATAATAGTCTCAGTATTTCTTTTATTTACTAACCGTTTTGCTCATGCTTCTTTCTTGGAAGATCTTGGAAATTCTTTTTGAGATGCTGTGGTTCTAGAGGCTTGCAGAAGGAAAGTTCTTCCGGGTGACGGATATCTAGATCTCTGCACAATGCCACAACCGCACTGAAAGTTTGCACTGAGAAATCTACTCTTAGGTCCAAGTATCGAAGGTCTGGTAACTGAATTAAAGAAAAAATCAAAAATTAAATTCACTCTTATAAATAAAAGAAATCTACCCTAAGATCCAAGTATCGAAGGTAAGGTAAATAAAAATGAAATAAATTCACCCTTATTTTATTATTAGATAATACAAAAATACATAAAATTTACTTCACAATATTGTTCCAAGTGATATAAAATTTTAAACTAAAATAATTTGACCATTTTTCCTGGATCTACCTCAAAACGTAATATAGTATAATTAACTATAATACTTTCATTTTGCTATATTTTGTTGCTTTTTCCTTTTGTTTTCTCGTTTTTTTTTGCTATAATATTTTAAATAACTTTAGTAGATACTAGGGTTTGTCGGTTTTCAAAAACCGGTTTTTGGCGAAAATTATGGAATCCGAAAAACGGTTTTTTAGTGAAAAAAGTCGGTTTTCACTGTATAAATGGAAAATGACAAATATAGCCAAATATAAAAGATAGATGAAAGCGTTTTGATTCGTGAAATCATATCGGTTCAATAGCATTTGACATCTTGTATTAATTTCGATTTTTATACCAGTGTATATAATTTAAATCAGTATGACTTCTTCTTAAAGAAGTAACTTCCTCTACTAAAACTTCAAAACAAAAGAGTTTTAAACCCTAGAAGCCACAAATTAAAGAACAAAAAACTTAGAATTATTGTATCAGACTTTAAAAACAATTGAGCCTGGTTTGGTCGCAAGTATGAGAGTATTTTCTATTTCAGGAAAATTTATTTTGTGAGTAAACAAAGGACACGTTTAAGTAGCAATTCGATAGACGTTCTAAGTTTTTTTAAATCATATTTTATTAAACAAAAAACAATTGGAATGTTTAAAATTGATTAATTAAAATTGCTCGAAACAGACAATACCCGAGTTTAGCTTAATTGTTTTTACAACTAAAATTGATATTAACAAGAATGTATCAACATAATGTATCTAATATTTTTTATTCATTTTTTAATTTAATGAATGTTTTTTATTTAAAAATGAATTATTTTTATTTATTCGAAAACTTTCCTTTCACTATCATAAAAATATTTTTATTCTTATATGTGAAAATGATGCATGAATAACAAATAATTATATTCAAAGTTATCTTATCAAGATAAACTATTATTTTTTAGTTCTACTAATTAAAATTAAAATAATTTTGTTTACTATCTATAAAATTGAAAAATAAATAAAATAAGTCAAATACTGCTCTAAATTACACTAAATTTGCGGATAAATTACAGGATATTCGAGCAAAAATTTATTTTCCATATAAAATTCGAAACTTGGTAAAAACGGTTTTTTTTAGTGAAATTAAAATTTGAAAACCGGTTTTCTGAAATGTCGGTTTTTGTATAAACCCTAGTAGATACGCCACTGGGTATATCTACTATTTTATAATCAACTTTATTTCACCATATATTTGCCAGCATTCTTTGCTTAATGTAATAATATATACAGATCGCATAATAAAATAAATTTGAAAAATTAAATTAATTTGCCTGGAAATTTTATTAATTAATTTTTAAATTAAATTAAAATTTAATCTTAAAAAATAGAGAATATAATTAATTTAGAATATTCCATTAATTTTTATTTACATTCACTATATTCCTAGTATTAGATAATATTATATATTACAAAATTGAAAATTTAAAACTGAATAGTATACCTGTACTCTTAAATTTTTGTGCATAGGTGTCAAATGAAGTAACGAATCTCCTTGAACTCCACATTGGTCCAAAGTAGATCTTGTCCTGGTCAACCACCGATTTTTTGCTGGCCACCATAACGCGTGATCTGACCAATCTATAGCAATACCTGCGAAAGAAAAAAAAATGAATAAAACTACAATTGTATAATAATAATATATTATAAATTAATCTGCTAATAATCTAAGATGTTTCATATTTTATCCTCTTTACTTTAATCCAGGTTCAACTATTTTTTTTCCTATGATTATCAAGTGGTCCCTAATTTCTGTTAAAGGTGTTCTTCAGCATCTTTCGAGCAGATGTGCACGTGCTAGTGGTGCATTAACCATCGCAGGTCGTTGCACACGTGTCAAAACAAGGCACCCTTCTTATTCTTAACATCGGATTTACGGATATACTGAATGCTTCTGTTTTTGTTGATGTTACTAGAAGCTATTTATAAAATTGTATAGGATTTTTGAAGACCAGACACATTGTACAGTAAAAAGCAATGTAAAAAATATTTCAGAATTTTTTTGTATTTAATTTATAAAAAATAATTTAAAATTATTTGCATATATGTACTTTTATCTCGGTTTTATTTATCAACCATTATTATGAATGATATTTTGATGCTACAATTTTGGCGTGTGTATTTCTTTAAATAATTCAAATGTTTTTTATTCTTCATCATAATACCGTACTTCGTATTTTTATATTTTTTAACTTCCCGTAGGGTAAGTTATTGTAATGGGCCGAAAATCGGAATTGAAAATTTTTACATTTCTCGACGTTTTGAAGGTTTCTGAACATTTTGGCATACCTCAGAAAAAATGGATGTGTGTGTGTGTGTGTGTGTGTATGTGTGTGTGTGTGTATGTATGTGGGATACAAATTTCCAGTCACGTTTTAGGGCGCACGGATCAACCGATTTGAATGGTTCAAAAAACATTCGATTCCTATTGATAGGGAAAAGAGCTGATTAGTTTTTGGCAAAGGCAGGTCCAGCCGTTTCGGAGATACAGAGCAAAGAGTGCGGCAAATAGAAATCGAATTTTTGAGAGAACGGAGTATCCGATTTGAATGATCTAAAAAACATTCAATTAGTATTGATTGGGAGAAGTGTTTATTAGTTTTTGGCAAAGGCAGACCCAGCCATTTCGAAGATACGGAGCTAAATATGTAAAAAATGGCAGTTTTTGAGAGAACTAAGCGTCCGATTTGAATGATTCAAAAAACTTTCTGCTTGTCTTAACAAAATAATTGATTTTGGAAAAAAAAATTTTGTTCGATTTTTTTTTTTTTTTTTTAGTTTTTTGTTGAAACAAATAATTTCAACTTTGCAATTCAGTTTATATAATTCTTATAAATATTAGACAATGTTACAATATTTATAATAATCTATTTGAAAACATTCAGTATTCCTCGAACATTTTGTTACGGTACGGGAAGTTCCAGCAATTTGCCTTAAGGCACGATGCCACCCACCCCACTAGTTTAATCTTTATTTATTTATTAACTTCCCGTAGGGTAAGTTATTGTAATGGGCCGAAAATCGGAATTGAAAATTTTTACATTTCTCGACGTTTTGAAGGTTTCTGAACATTTTGGCATACCTCAGAAAAAATGGATGTGTGTGTGTGTGTGTGTGTGTATGTGTGTGTGTATGTATGTGAGGATACAAATTTCCAGTCACGTTTTAGGGCGCACGGATCAACCGATTTGAATGGTTCAAAAAACATTCGATTCCTATTGATAGGGAAAAGAGCTGATTAGTTTTTGGCAAAGGCAGGTCCAGCCGTTTCGGAGATACGGAGCAAAGAGTGCGGAAAATAGAAATCGAATTTTTGAGAGAACGGAGTATCCGATTTGAATGATCTAAAAAACATTCAATTAGTATTATTGGGAGAAGGGTTTATTAGTTTTTGGCAAAGGGAGGCCCAGCCATTTCGAAGATACGGAGCTAAATATGTAAAAAATGGCAGTTTTTGAGAAACTAAGCGTCCGATTTAAATGATTCAAAGAACTTTCTGCTTGTCTTAATAAAATAATTGAGTTTGGAAAAAAAATAATTTTGTCTCAACTTTTTTTTTCAATTTTTTTTTCAAAGAATTTTTTTTTTTAATTCTTTAATTTTTAATTTCTTTCAAAGAAATTCAGATTTTATTTTTAATTCTGACTATAGTTCTAATATACTTTAAACAAATAATTTCAACTTTGCAATTCAGTTTATATAATTCTTATAAATATTGGACAATGTTACAATATTTATAATAATCTATTGAAAACATTCTGTATTCCTCGAATATTTCGTTACGGTACTCGAAGTTCCAGCAATTTGCCTTAAGGCACGATGCCATACACCCCACTAGTTTTATTTTCTTTTTTATTGATAGTTTATTTGTAATTCACTATTATAATTATGCATTTCGAATATTAGTTAAGCTTCTTAAAGTCACCTAAATTACAAACATCTTTTCAATCAATACCATAAGGTATATCAATGGGTAAACTCTATTTTGGTCACAACATTACATATTGTCATTCATAATTACTAAATGTTTTTGTTTGTATTTTAAAAACATATTATAATTAAATAAATTGTAAAAATCATAATACCATTTAATAATTTTAATTCAATTATCCTGTTGATCAAAAGTTGACGATTCTACAATTTGTAGGAATTGCAGAAATGCTATTTTTAGATTATTTATATAAATAGTGCTTTTTTGTTTTATCTATTTCATTGCAAGCTGCAGCAAACATTTATTACAAATGAAGATCAGAAATAAAACTAAGTTGTTAAACACTGTGCATGTTTTTAAGTGGAACCGGAAAAGTTTTTTTTAATTCCTAGTCGACTGGAGATAACATGTAAAATGGTGAATACATATTTTGATAATATTTCCAAAGTGTGTGTATATAAAAAAGTATGTAATAAAATTAGTAAAAAATAGGAAAGCAATTTGTATTTTTAACTTCCCGTAGGGTAAGTTATTGTAATGGGCCGAAAATCGGAATTGAAAATTTTTACATTTCTCGACGTTTTGAAGGTTTCTGAACATTTTGGCATACCTCAGAAAAAATGGATGTGTGTGTGTGTGTGTGTGTGTGTGTATGTGTGTGTGTGTGTATGTATGTGTGGATACAAATTTCCAGTCACGTTTTAGGGCGCACGGATCAACCGATTTGAATGGTTCAAAAAAACATTCGATTCCTATTGATAGGGAAAAGAGCTGATTAGTTTTTGGCAAAGGCAGGTCCAGCCGTTTCGGAGATACGGAGCAAGAGTGCGGAAAATAGAAATCGAATTTTTGAGAGAACGGAGTATCCGATTTGAATGATCTAAAAAACATTCAATTGGTAATGATTAGGAGAAATGTTTATTAGTTTTTGGCAAAGGCAGGCCCAGCCATTTCGAAGATACGGAGCTAAATATGTAAAAAATGGCAGTTTTTGAGAGAACTAAGCGTCCGATTTGAATGATTCAAAAAACTTTCTGCTTGTCTTGACAAAATAATTGATTTTGGAAAAAAAAAATTTTGTTCCATTTTTTTTTTTTTTTTTTTTTTAGTTTTTTGTTGAAACAAATCATTTCAACTTTGCAATTCAGTTTATATAATTCTTATAAATATTAGACAATGTTACAATATTTATAATAATCTATTTGAAAACATTCAGTATTTCTCGAACATTTCGTTACGGTACGGGAAGTTCCAGCAATTTGCCTTAAGGCACGATGCCACCCACCCCACTAGTTTTTTAGAATATTTGAAATATGTATACATATGTAATTCAAGTTCCAAACATAAAATAGTTCCATGCTTTGTTATTAGCCACCCATTAACCTCGCATATCTAAAAAACTATTGAATGTTCCAACTTTAAATTTTTGTCAAATATTTAGTGAAGTGTAGTAACAACGTATGTCAAGTTTCATCAAAATCGAATTATGCATTTTTAAAATTGTACAATCTGTTTCAATACCAGTATTTGAGCGGAGCCTCAATAAAAAGTACCTCTAACTCTTCAATTTTTAAGCTTTTAACGAATCTCGATTGGCCGAGATTTTCTAAGAACTTCGCAATAATTTTGACATAAACAAACTTTTGAGAGACCAAGGTTTCTAAAACATGATCTGGGTCAGTGCAAACGTAATGGTTCATAAAAATCAAGGTAAAGCCATTTATTAGTGTCCTAGATCCTAGGATTAGTTTTTGTACAATGGATTTACGCATCGCTTCGTTATTAAGTTGTTAAATATGATAAAAGATTGGCTCGATTTTTATTACTATATTGACTTTCATATTTCTCATATATGCAATGTCGTATGGAGGTTTATTAAGACTAGCATTGTATAGATTTATCTTTTATACATATTTCATTTATTATTATTCGAAATTCCTAACACATTATTTTGAAAACAATGAAAAATATATCCAGTCTGTTCGTCACGTGAACATGACCAAAATATAAATACGTGTCTGAAGATTTTGGACGCTGGCCAGTGTTTGTTTGATCTTTTTGATTCGCAAATCTTTTCGCCTCGCAAAATCTGATTACACACATCCAAATATATTCGAATGTTTTTGTTTTTAGGCCCGTCGGAATGTGGGCGTGAACCGCAGACCGACTAATTTCTGGCGTCTATTTCTGGTTCATCTGGAGAATTTCAAACAGTACTCGGTAAATATAGGTCGAACTATATAATCGTTAATCAGTATTAATTGGTAATAAAATGAGACTGTGATATTTTTAATTGAGTTCGTTATTATTATTATTATTAGCGTAGGCCGAGATCAAGAATCGAGGCGGTTACGACATTTTTAAATACTTGAAATCGCAAGTAGGAGCGGTATATGCAAGCGCGTTATTGCGAGGGAGGTAGTGTTGTCAAGTGGAGGTTATTCTGGCCTAGTGATTCTGTATGGGAAATGATGTCATACGATTTGTCTTGTGAGACATCTTTTATATGACCTTACATCATAATTAAATAATAAATGAATAAATCACACTAAAATTATATTCATTATTGGTACTGACTGAATTTTATTTTTAATTAACTTCCCGTAGGGTAAGTTATTGTAATCGTCCAAAAATCGAAATTGAAAAGTTTTACATTTCTCGA